CGGGGTGCTGCAGCCAGCGGGCCCCCGGGGTCGGCCGGACGACGGGCGGGGCCGCGCGACCCTCGCACGCAGTTTTCCGAATCGGTTGGGGCCCTGGGAGGTGCGGTGGGCGTGAGAGGTAGGTCGGTGCGCGTCGGGGCCCGGTGCTGGGGCCTCGGTGCTCCTCAGCGCCGGGCTCACGGAGCCCTGCCCCGCATAACCGGGAGGCTCTGAGGAGCAGAGCTCCTGGGGCTCCCCCCACCCCGCCCCGGGCTGGAACTTGTGGAAATGCACCCGGCCGCAGCTGCTAACGCGGTGCGGGGGTGGGGGGGCGGACAGGGCCCAGAAAGGCGGAACAGCCCTGGCCAGGTCTTAACGACGGCTGCTTTGTGTTCTCCATTTTGTATTTAATTTGCACCCCAGAAATACCCTCTGTACTTCCGTGTCACTGCATTGTATTGAAGGAGGCTTTTTCAGCCAGTTACGTGAATTGATATTGGCGGTGGGTCCTCCCCGCCCCCCCATCCCCTTTCATCTTTCAGATGGATCCGAGTTCAAAGGACCAGGAACCCTGTGAAAGCAAGGAGTCTGCTGTTAATAACTCCGGTATGTGGCGATCTCTGCTGCCTGCTTGTGAAATTGAAGACTCAAGTATTTCTTCTGACAAGTGATGTCTACCCCCTCTTAACGCTGCTGTCTGTTTTCAGAAAATGCCTCTTTTATTTTGGGGACTGGAAAGCTTGTGACGCCCCAGAAGAACCTCACGGAAGCAGCTCCTAATTTTTGCACCTCAGATGCTTTTAAGTCACCTTTGAACTTTTCCACAGTAACAGTGGAGCAACTGGGAATTACACCTGAAAGTTTTGTTAAGAATTCTGCAGGTAAGAGAAGTTGTGTCATTTGTATGTGTGAGTGTGTGTGTGTGTATGTGTATGCTTGTTGGTACCAGGGCTTGAATTCAGGGCTTTGTGCCTTCTCTTAGTTTGGTTGCTCAAGGCTGGTACTTTACCACTTGAGCCACCCTTTTACTTCTGGCTTTTTGGTGGTAAATTGAAGATAGGAGTCTCATAGACTTTCCTATCCAGGCTGGCTTCAAACTGCAATCCTTTACCTCTCAATCTCCCAAGGATATGGGAGTGACACCTGACTGGGAGTTGCACTTCTATACTGACTGTTTTATAACTGAGTATCCTAATTGACTGACCCTGGAAACGTGGCCTGTTGTGTGCATTGCAGTTTGTCTAGCAGCAAGGATTACCAAACTCAGAGCCCCAGCATGGTCATGGTCCTAAGTCTTGTGCTTCCTGACCACCCTGGAAAAGAATAGTGCAAGGAACTTTTCAACCTGACACATGAGATCCAAGAAATGATATGATATGAATAGTTCTACATTTTATGAGTACGTATAAGAGGAAATCAAAGAGCAATTAAAAAAAAAACACTGACAGACTGGGTTCTGCACCTCTGTCCACCTTCAGACTTTAGAAGTGAGATTCATTTGTAAAGTGAAGCTCCACAGGGATCTGTTCCACGATTCTCAGTGGGTTTAGAACTAAGGCTAGTTCTGCTTTTTCCTAGGCATACATTCTAATGATTACACTTGATAATCACAGTAAGCAAAGTAAGAGATTATGCGATTAGCATGCAGCAGTTCTTAACTGTGTAATCAAAGTTTTGTGAATATGCATTGAGATTTTCATTGCAATGACAAAATATATGACACAAGCCATTTAGAGTGAGGAAAAGGTGACTTTGGCTCATGGTTCCAGAGGTTTTGATCTGTGGTTGCTCGGTCTATTGCTTTGGGTCTGATGTGAGACAGAAAATAGGGCCTTGAACAATACGTGGAGAAACAAATTTCCTCCTCATGGCAGGCAGGAAGCAGAGAGGGAGCATGCTACCGGTGAGACTGCACCACCCAGTAATGCCATCCTCCTACAAATTCATGGAGGGAAGCATCCGTGGACTCAGTCAGGGCCCTTGTGATGCAGTGACCTCTGTGCATCTTACTGAACTTTCTTTTCACTTAATGCACAGAGCAGCTTCTTTTTTATCACACCTGAATTGCCAGCATCACTACTATTGAGCATAGAGTCATTACCAAGTGAAATAAGGGTACTTGTTGCCAGCTCTACCAGCCTCCAACAGTATTACCTGATAGCCAGGAAGTGACATAATAGATGGTGGTGTTTGTAGTGGAATGATCTGTGTCCAGAGCAAGATGGAGCTGGCCAGTTTAGAGTGACACAAAATTTGTAACTTATGAATTGTTTATTTCTGTCCTTTTCCATGAACTGTTTTCAGACTGTAGGTGTCTGAAACCATGCAACAAGAAATGGTTTAGGGAAGACTTACTGTACAGGTGTCGTGGCGAATAATTTTTCTTCAGATTCTCAGGGATAAGACTTAATTCAGAAAAGGAGAAATTCTCAGTCCAAGGCAATCCATTATCCAATTTTTTGTGCAGAAAATGTGAAACAAAAATTAAAGATAATGAAAGTGTTTTTGTGTTTTTAGTTAATAGCTTTATTAATGACTTATGAGCAGGTGCTTGCCATTCTAGCAGCATGGGCTAATTCAGGACAACACACATCCCTTGATTTCTGCTGATGTGCACACCACTTCCCCAGTCTGCCGTGTTTATTCTGCTTTCTCTGGGCTGGGGTATCATGGGCATTGGACATGATCACTCGTGATTGCTTTGTATTGTTCCAATTTGTAAGAAAGCTTTCTTACAGGGAAGTCATCGCCCTATCTGAAAAAGTTCAGACGACGTTCTGCAGTTGGAACCCGGGGCTCTCCTGAAACAAACCACCTGATCCGCTTCATTGCTCAGCAGCGGAACTTGAAGAATGCAGAGAAATCTCCGCTGGAGAGATCCTGGTGTTCCCCTCTCCAGGTGAGTCCTTGCTTTGCTTTGTTAAGCTCGTGTAGGATGCTGCTTCCGGTGTATCTACCTGATTTGGATCTGGGGAGCCAGTTGTCAGTGTGTGCAGAGTGAGTTAAGTGTGCTTGATGAGGTTAAGAGTGTGTTAAAAGCTCTTGATGAGGTTGAGCATGCGCGTGGTAACTAGAGAGCTCTTTTTATTTGTATATATAATGTCAATTTTTCTAGCATGAGGTGAGGCACTGTTTTCTTTTAGTAGATTGTCTCTGGTGTGTGTCTGTCCATCCGTCCATTGGTTGTCGCCATTGTCTCCCTTCCCTGTCCACACGCCCACCTCTACCCCGCCCCCCAGTCTAGAGGTTTGAACTCTGGGCCTACGCACTGTCCCTAGTGCTCTGCCACTTGAGCTACTTTGGGGTTTTTGTAGTTAATTGGAGATAAAAGGCTTACAGACTTTTCTTGCCCAGGCTGGCTTCAAACCACAATATTCAGATCTCAGTCTACTGAGTAGCTAGGGTTATTGGCATGAGCCATCAGCAGCCAGCTAGGGTTTATAATAGTTTTATGATAACTTTCTATTGGTGTGTAACAGACAAGGGTTCTCTAGGACCAAATGTCTTTGGATAGCCTTGTAGAAAAGAGCAAATGGCTCATCTTCTGTTGTCAGTGCCCAGCTGGTGATTTCAAGCTGTCAGGCCTTCACGGACATAATGTCAGCTTCATCAAATGTCCCTAATGCACTAAGAATGGCCAGTTTTGTGGAGTCATCCTAGCCCTAGCCCTTGAGTATTCTGTGAGGTACGAAGTCCTTGTGCAGCACTTTGGAAGCACACGCACAGGTGTGCTGGGTGTTCTAGAACCATCTCAGATAATGGAGCTGTGTGCCGAGCCAGCTATTTCATTTTTATGGAGAATCATTTTTATGTGAAAGAGAAACTGACAAATCATGGTAGTAAGATTGGGAATGCGACTGGCGTTTTCTCTAAATGAACAGTGAATCTACCACATCTACAAGCGTGTGTTGCCAACAAGAAAATTTGCATTTTCTAAAGGATTTTGAAATTTTAGAAAACATGTAAGTTTGACAACTCCCTGATAGGCTTTCTGATTAATCAGTGGTGATATTGATGTGATACTTGGATACTGCCTAATAAAATGTGCCAAGATTTGGAAAATCTGCATAGCATAATAAACCCATGTTTTTCCCTATGTGCATGTTGTTTGAGACTCTTGAATGAGTAAAAGCCTCACATTCAAGCCAGCCTGATAGTTCTTAACATCACAATGTGAACCGTGCATTGGTAGGATTTCCTGACGTTGCAACCAGCTTTTAAGAAATCTTCATTGCGCTGGGCACAGTGATGCACCCCTGTCATCCCATAGCTACCAATGAGGCTGGGATTGGGAGACTCAATATCCCAGGGTGATCGTACCAAAAATTGAGACCCTTTATCAAAGCAAATAGAGTTGGGGGTGTGGCTTAAGTTGTGCTTTGTGGAGCACAACTCTTGAATTCAAACCCAGTACTGAAACATGCACACATGCAAAACTTTGTTGGGCTTGTTTAGTCAGTTACACAAGAATATTCTTTGAAGACACTATTAAATACTTCTGATATATAGCAACATATACAATCTTTGGAGTGCTCACTAATTTTTTTTCATAGGAAGGTTTTTTTTTTAATTTAATAGCTGCACAAAGAGGTTACCATTCAGCAAATCAGTGTATAAGTACAGTGCATCTTGATCGATGTCCCCCCTCTCATCATTTGTCCCCATTGCTCTCAGTAATTTTCTAACAGCAGCAGTAAACATCTCTCAGATCTGCTGTGTGGTGGCTCAGAGCAGAGAGGCTGAGCTTTGTTGCTTTGGTTTGATTCTTAGCCTTGTTTACTAGTTGTGTGTTGGGGCTGGCTACTTATGTCCTCTGTCTGTTTCCTCACATACAAAATAAAGGTGATATATTATCAGCAAGAATTTTAAAATTAAATCTGGCATAAATGAAACAATGTGCTTATGCAATTCCTAGGACACGCCTGGGCTTTTAACTCTGTAGATACTTCTCAAAGTGCTATGTAGGTATGTTACAGTTAATTTTCCATTCTTGCACGAATTTTGTTTTTCTGGTAGTTACTAAGTAACTTTTTTCCCCTCCCTGGTTTAGACTTCTCATTTATTATACAATATCATCTTCAAATTTACCAAGTTACCAGAGGTGACTTTTGTTTTTCACCCCCTTAGGTTTTTTGTTTTAGTTTTCTCTTATGTCTTACCCACTCTGAATTCCAGTCCCAGCAGTATAAAATCATCTTGCAGATATTTTTACAAGTTTACATTAATAAATGTATTATGTATTCACAGGGTAGAAGATCAGGTAGTACTGCTGGGCTATTTATTTATTTATTTTACTTTTTTTTTTTTTTTTTGCCAGTCCTGGGGCTTGAACTCAGGGCCTGGGCACTGTCCTTGAGCTTCTTTTGCTCAGTGCTAGCATTCTACTTAAGCCACAGCGTCACTTCGGGCTTTTTCGGTGTATGTGGTACTGAGGAATGGAATCCAGGGCTTCCTGCATGCTAGGTGAGCACTCTACCACTAAGCCTCAGCTATTTATTTGTATAGGAGTAGTTTGGAGTTCCTTTGTCTGGGCTTTCATTTTAGCATGTGTGGCTGATAGGGCTGATTCCCTGTGTCTTAATGACAGTTGTGCTGCTGTTTCCTCCTCTTTCCATGCCTGGCATTCACTGCTGGCCTCCAGAGGGAACAGTGCGGAATGAGCCCTCCTCTTTCCTAATGCTCCCTTCTCATGCTTCCCAGTCTCTCTAGCTTTCTTCCGTGATGTCAGCATTTTCGAGTGTGGACGTCATTGCTTCCTGTGCATTATTCTGAGCTGGGTTTTCCTTCTAGGTTGTCCTGTCTTCTTTCCCGGGGTTCTTGCCAGACTCCTTGGCTCCTCTTCCTGCCCAGTGCCCCTCCACAGAACTTCTAGAACTGCCGGCCTGTTCTGGCTGGCCCTGGTCCCCCACCTTTTCTGCTGTGGCCTGTTAACCTCAGTTAGGCTTTACTTCTGCTGCCCTGTGGAGAAAACATTTTTGACTAGAGAATTTTAGTTTCCTGTACTAAACAGCATTTTAAAGTGCTTAAACCAGCCATGCCACGATGTAATATGAGAGCACAAAAGCCACTTCAGGGTAGTTTGTGTGTCTTTCCTCTGTTAGAGAGCCTTTTGTGAAGGTCGTATGCTGTTTGTCATAAATGTTTGCATCACCATATGTATCCAAATTTCAGCTCTCCTGTTGTGTCACAGAAAGTTGGTTTTCTGAAAATAGTTAACTGAGAATAGAGTGAAGTGTATGAACAGATCATCAAACATGTCTCTAAGACTTTAACCACTTTTTCTCCATCTGATATCTGAGAAGGTAATTTTTACTCTTACCTGTTGATGAGAATTTAAACATTGCCACAGGTTCTAACATCAGTGGAAATACCTATGTAGTAACAGAAGAAAAATCAGAATTTTTTTTTGTCTGAACTGAATTCTGTTTCTTGGCAGTAATGATAATTGAAATCAGGCTCTGCAGTACCTGCTAAGCAGGTCATCTACCACCTGAGTCACACCCCAGTCTTTTTTGCTTATAGTTTGTTTTTCAGATAGTCTTGCACATATTGCCATAGCCAGCTTTGGACCAGGATCCCCTTCCCTTCCTCCCAAGCAGCTGGAGTTACAGTGATGTGCTACCATGTTTGGCTTGTTTTTGAGATGAAACTTACTAACTCTGTTTGCCTGGGTTGGCCTAGAACTGCCTTCCACCTGTCTTTTCTGAGTGGATGAGATTACTGTACTGAACTCTTAAATGTACAATACCTTGTTATAAGATAACTTCCCATTATTGATTACTTCTGTTCTGCTAGTATGATAAAGTTCATTTCAGTAAGTAATCTTTGTTTGGAACCTGGTCAGCAGGATTTCAAGAGAGGCCTTGGACTTACCCCACCGGATTTTTAAAAAAATGAATGACCGACTTTCTGCCCTCCAAGGAGGTAATTTCCCTGGCAACAAAAGGTGACACTCAGATGACTTGAGCACACTCTGATAAAATTCACAAGTGGACAGCTTCCTTCTGCCCCTTCTTCTTTGTCCATCTCTGGAATTCCATGTTTTCTGAGATTTGCTCACCTGCAAATCACAGGGAATGCCTTTTGTCTACCAGTCCCAGGCTGCTTTTGGTTCATTCGTTTCATGTTAACCAGCTTGAGACTACGCATAAACCATTAATCACTCTCAGGTTTTGAAAAGTAGGGAGGAGCAGAGGGCAGCAATGCTTTAGCACAGGCAGTGTCCAGACAGGAGTGTGTGCTGCACTGGTTCATTCATTATCTCTCATCTTCAAAAAGCCTTTGGGTATTTGGTGATGATAGGCCTAGAACACAGAAACTGTTGGATTTATAAAACTCTTTTTATGTCTGTCCCTTCACAGGGTAGCCCTGGACCTTATCGAAATGTTACTTCTTTAAGAGAGCGAATATCTGCTTTCCGGTCAGCTTTTCACCCCATAAAGGAAAACAAGAAAATGGCTCACTGTCCAGAATTCTCAGAGACAGAAGGTGGGTGTGAGGCAGCAGGCTTGCGTGAGTGGGAAGATTGCGTTCAGGCTGACTGACTTTTGGGTCCCAAGCTCCTGGGACATGAGAAAAGCTTAATTTTGTAATGTGAAAGTCTTTACATGGACCCTCACATTTAAAATTCAAGACATTGCACACATCACTGTGCATTTCTTGCTTCTCTGTGCTGAGGACAGAGCCCAAGGCCTGGGAATGCTGGGCAAGTGTACCACCCAGATACACTGCAAGCCCATCCGGTTTGGCTTGACCATGGTGAGACAAGCCTTCATTGCAACATCGTCACAATTGAGTTTCAACTTTGAAGAGGTTGGAGTTAACTAGATCACTTCAGCTTTTGCACAGAGCAAAATCTGAATGTGCAGTGCTTGCTTTTTATGGAATGGCTGTTGTTTGGCAAATGTTTATGTGAGTGCCAATACCCAGTTTTGGTGGTAACCACAAATATGTTCAGGCTGACAGCAGAGTAGTCTGCTGTATTCCTCACTGGATCTGAGATTATAATGCAGTATGTTATTTTTCAGTCATTTTGAATTTTTCAGTCACAAAACTTTCAGGTATCAGGACTGGACAGTCTTGGTCTTAACTGAGATCATTATAACCATTCCTCTGAGGAATCAGTTTACCCTCTGAGGTTCCAGAAGATTCTGTGCCACTTCTGAAACTGTCTTCCTGATTTGTATTTGTAGACTATAACTTGCTTATTTGAACTTTTGCCTGGGCTTTGAATTTTTAACCTGGGCCATCATTGTAATTCTGTAGATGTTAAATTCCCATTTTTGTAGAGAGAACATTGCAGTTATATTTTTTTACAAAAATTACATAGACTCGAAACAGAACAGCATTAGATGATAAACATTCCCTTTACAGTTTTGGAAATGGGTGGCTTCATAGCAAATTTAGAAAGCCTGCCATACCATGTCAGAAGTGTAAATGTGACTCAGTGTCTCTGTACATCACAAAGTCTAAGAAAGGCTTTAGTCCAATAATGAAATTTTCGATTATCTTTTTAGTAGTCATACTTTTTCTTTCACTCAGATTTTCTTTTTGAGTGATAAACATCTTCCTTTTCATTGTTAAATTAGACATAAACAATGAATTGTCATAAAAGTACTATAATATACTAGATTTTAAAATAATACTTAAAAAGAAAATACTACCAGGTGCTAGTGGCTCATGTGTATAATCCCAGCTACTCAGGAGTCTGAGATCTAAGGATGATGGTCCAAAGTCTGCCTGGGCTGACTTTACCAGCAGAAAGCCAGGAAGTGGAGCCATGGCCCAAATGGTAGAGCACCAGCTTTATGCAAAAAAAAGCCACGTGAGAGCATGAGACCCTGAGTTCAAGCTCCAGTACCAGCACACATACAGAAAAAAGTGGGGGGGGGGTTGAAGGAGATTTATATTCCTGTGTCATTGTTTCTATTTTCTGTAAGTAGCTGAAAAGGAATGCCTTGGTGAATACCAGCAGTGTGGGTCCTCTACCAACTCATCCAAACGTCGGAGAATATCCTCGCAGAGCAAGTCCACTGACCCTTTCAGTACCTTGGATGGAAAAGCCACGGAGGATGTGCAGGAGTTGACTGCTGGCACCCCGAGGCGGCATGCTTCTGGTGCTGCTGCTGGCCTTGAGGTGAGCCACACCTTCTCCATAGACACTCACACTGGGCTCATAGGCAGTAGTAGTTCAACCTCATGGTGACTGGGTTTTAAATTTCAAGTATGTTTCCCACACGCTAACTTTACTTTTACTAGTTCTAATAGGTAGGTTACTTTCCGCCACTAATTGGATGCAGAAGACTTTATGGAAAGAGCCCTGGGGTCTTCTGCGTGAGGGGATGATTGGGTCTTGTCTTGTCTTCAAGCCAGTTTTTGTTTTTGTTTTCTGTTATTGTGTGAGGCCTGAACTCAGGCTCTCATGCTGTCACTTGACTTTTTCACTCATAACTAGTGCTCTACCATTTGAGCCATGTCTCTTGTTTTGGCCTTTTGCTTGTTAATTAGAATTAAGAGTCTTGAGGATTTGTCTCTCTGGGCTGGCTTCAAACTGAGACTCTCAGGTCTCAGCCTCCTGAGTAGCTAGGGTTGCTGGCGTGAGTCTGAAGTGCTTGGCTCCTCAAGCAAGCAGCTTTTTGTGCTTTGGGCATATGGATGGGGGGTGATTTAAGCATCAACTCCAGCTGCCTGCAGTAGTGACTGGGGATTGTGTGTGTAGTGCTGTTACGCACTTCCACTTACTGGCCCTGCCTTGCCTAAGTCTGGTGGGGAAGCAGGATGCTGTTCAGCCATTCCTGTTGTTCTGCTCACTTCTTTCAGGTAGACTTAAGGAGTTTTCTGGCCTGTGACCACCAAAGCCTATCAAGATTCTTAAAGGACAAGGCTGTCGTTTTTCCTAAGGTGGGAGGAAAATTCCTCTCCTGCAGTCCATTGACTAGCATGCAGCTATGAGGACCACCAGTCTCCAGAGCGCCTTTTTTTTTTTTTTTTGGTCAGTTGTGGGGCTTGAACTTTAGGCTTGGTCGCTGTCCCTGCGCTCTTCAGCTCAAGGCGAGTGCTCTACTGCTTGAGCCACAGCGCCACTTCTGGTCTTCTAGTGGTTTATTGGAGATAAGAGTCTCATGGACTTTCCTGCCTGGGCTGGGCTGGCTTTGAACCGAGATCCTCAGATCTCAGCCTTCTGAGTAGCTAGGATTACAGGCTTGAGCCATCGGTGCCTGGCTCAGAGTGCCTTCTATTGCTTTGTGCTCTTGGTTAGTTTTTTCCAGGAGCTTCTTGCCTTCTTTTTGGGAAGAGGCAATTGCCACATCGCAGCTGGAACTCTTTTTTTATACCTGCTCTGTCACTTAGCCCAGTGCATGACTAAGTGCATGTTGGTTAGTAGAGATTCCCAGATCTAGTGGGTTTCTTTTGTGTCTCAAAGTTGCCCCTTCTGCTATATTCAGGTTAATATAAAATCATCATCTGACTGAAGCAGTAGTAATTGTCATCAGAACTTTGTCTGGATGTGCAGCGTGATGCAGAAATGATCGCAAAGTTGAGAGCAATAGATTTTCTCTCCTGCCTACTACTTATTTCCCTTTTTATGTTTGATCAGTCATTATATAATACTTTCCTTTATTTTGAGAATTTGCTCTTCAGTGGATAAGCAGATAACACAGCTTTCTAGGCTTCCAACAGGCTGCCAACGAAAATTGTTTGGGGAGATGTTTGGGGTACAGTCAGGATGAACCATCCATCGTTAAATCACTGTAGACTCTTGCTTGCTGCAGGCTTGAGCCTCAGCCCAAGCTGAGATGGGGTCCTTGAGATGGGGTCTGGGCTTGGACTGAGATCCTCCTGCCTGATCCTCCCATTAGCTGGAACCAATAGGTAGGCACTACTGTACTCAGCTTGTTAGTTGAGGACCAGGTGGGCCATGAACCACCATCCTCTCAATTTCTACCTCCAGAATAGCTGGGATTACAGGCTTGTGCCACCGCTCTGAGCCACTTCTTAACTCTTGAATGTTTCTTCCCCAGAAATCATCTGATCTTGGGTTTACCCAATCTGGCTTTGCAATTGAGGAGTCTGTTTTTGTTCAAGAGCTCACAGAGGCTTCAAATGGTAAGTATATAATCTAACTCGGTGCCAGTGACATTTGTGATTAGTGTGGCCATACTAAAATTGGGGGACACTAATGAGTTTCTACATTTTTAGAACTCTTGACCTAGGAAGTATATTGTAGACTTAATGTTTTTAAATGTATTGTGGACTTAACCATTTTCTGAGCAATCTTTTCTTTTCGAACTGCTGTCCGGAGTTCGTGAATATTTCTAGGCTTGTCGAATACTGTGTGGAGTAGGGTCAGCCAAGCATAGTAGTCCACACCTATGGATGACACATAGTGAACTCCCCCACTCTGAGGGAAAAAACAAACTCAAGACCTACAAACAAGCATATTTTGTTAGAGAATCAGTATCCTTTCACTTCTGTTTTCTAGTGTACTGAAGGTGTTTTATGTGACAATCATTTAGCCTTTCCCAGCATCAATTTGCTTGTATTTGAGTTTCTAGCAAGTTGTTAGGATTGTTTTTGTTCTGCCTGGGTTATTTTGTTTATTATTTTATGAGTGCTGATGATACTAGGACTTGAACTCAGCCGCCTACTCTCATTTGGTGTTTCCATTTCAAAACTGGTGCTTTAGCACTTGAGTCACACTTGTACTTCTGGCTTTTGTGTGTGTATGGCTTGCATGTGTTCTGTGTGGGTGTGTGAGCACATGTGCGCGTGTGCATGTGTGCATGCATGTGCCAGTTGTGGGGCTTGAACTCAGGGTTTGGGCGCTGTCCTTGAGCTTTTGAGCTCAAGGTTAGCTTTCAGCCACTTGAGCCGCAATTCTCTTCTGGCATTTTGCTGGTTAATTAGAGATAAGAGTCTCACAGAGTTTCCTGCCCAGGCTGACTTTGAACTTTGATCCTTAGATCTCAGCCTCCTGACTAGCTAGGATTACAGGCATCAACCACCAGCACTTGGTTTGTTTGGGCTATTTTAAAGTAAAAGTTTTTGTTGTTGTTTTTTGTTGGTTGTGGGGCTTGAACTCTAGGCTTGGGCACTATCCCTCAGCACTTCAGCTCAAGGTGAGTGCTCTACCGCTTGAGCCACAGTGCCACTTCCAGTTTTCTAGTGGTTTATTGGATATAAGAACCTCAGACTTTCCTGCCCGGGCTGTCTTTGAACTGCTATCCTCAGATCTCAGCCTCCTGAGTAGCTAGGATTACAGGTATGAACCACTGGCACCTGGCTTCAAGTAAAAGTTTTTATAAGACATATAGTTGAATATTTATTTTTGTGGAACTGGGGTTTGACCTCAAGACCTTGCATTTACTGGGCAAGTAGAATACCGTCGAGGTGCACTTCTGGTTTTGCTGCCTTTTAGTTATATTTAGCCCATTAAAACCTTTCTGTTTTGTTAATTGTGCTGGGATTCCAACATGCAATTATATTCTTACCGTCTTCTTCCAGATAATATTGTATAGCTTTGCATAAAATACAGAACTGGACAGCTCTAGCTCAGGCCTGCCACTCCGTGGCTCCTCCAGCCCTTTGCACTATTGGTCATGTATTTACTTCAATGTAATGCCCATAGATGTTACCAGTTTTACTTTAAACTATCAGATAGAATTCAAACAGGTTAAGTTTTTGCAATACTGGGGGTTGAATTCAGGGCTTTACTCTTGCTAAGCAGGTGTTCTACCACCTGAACCACACCTCCAGCCCCTTTGGCATTACTTTTGGGGTAGAGTCTTGTACTTCTAGCTCAGACAGGTCTCGGACCTTGATCCTTTTACTGAGGCTTCCCATGTAGCTGGGTCTATAGGCCTGCTGTTGACACCATGCTGGGCTTGTTTTATTATGATGAGGTACTAAACTTGCCCAAGCTGGCCTTAGACCATGATCTTCCAAATGTCCACCTGCTGAACAGCTGGAATGAGCAGGGCAAGCCCTGCGTCCCGTGAAATTCCTTAATAGTCACGGTATTATCTTTGCACATGCCCCATATCAGATGTCTGTGGTGTGAAACAAGCAGGCTTGGGCGTCTTCTGTCTCTCACGCTGATGGCTTTATCTCGAAGGACGGGTGGTTGCTGACGGCGTGGAAGAAAATGCTGTCCCCCTGGATGGGCTCGTAGCAGGAGTGAGCGCCCGCGCATGCCCGGATGTCACATCACCCGCCATGCCAGTGTGCACTGAGGACACCCTACTGCCCCAGGCCTCTGTGCTTCGTTCTGTGTTGAAGAAACCTGTGAACCCACTTCCCGAGAGCAGGCAGGTAGGAAGATCCCATTTCCTCACGCAATAGTGTCGACATGATAGTGTCGAAGGATCTATTCCCCTTCCTCTCTATGCTTGCTCTCCTTTCCTCTTTCTTGTTTTCTTCAGTTTTGTGGTGTTTGATTTGAAGTCAGCCTCTGTCTTGCCAGGAGGGTGCTTCACCACGGAGTTGTGCCTCTAGCCCTCCTTATACTCTTTTTTTGAGGCTTTACATTTTACCTGGGCATGCACCTAGACTAGTCTTTTTATTTTATACTTTCTGCTGTAGCCAGGATGACAGGTGTGAACTACCATACCCAGCATCTTCCATTGTGAGAAAGTCTTGCCGATATTTTTGCCTAGGCTGGCCTGAAACCATATTGTGTAATCCGTGAGTGATGTTACAAATACCCAAATGGCCCTTGGCAGATAAGTCTCCCCATTTCTGATATATAGTTTTTGTTGTTGGTTTTTTGTTGGTTGTGAGGCTTGAACTTGGCCTGGGCGCTGTCCCTGAGCTTTTCGGCTCTAGGTGAGCGCTCTACCACTTGAGCCACAGAGCTACTTCCTGTTTTCTGGTGGTTAATTACAGATAAGAGTCTCACAGACTTTCCTGCCCAGACTGGCTTTGAACTGAGGTCCTGAGATCTCAGCCTCCTGAGTAGCTAGGATCACAGGCATGAGCCACCAGTGTCCAGCTGATAGTTGCTATTTTAAATGTTTTTTGTTAAACAACTTCATTTGGGTTGAAGAGCTCATTTGGATCCCTAATCCCTCCATCACTACTTACGGTGTCTTGTTTTTCTTTTACTTCTCTTAATGACATCACTCAGCAAACTCCCAAGTCACACCACTAGAATCATAGGATGATATTGACAACTGAGTTGATGAATTATAAGGGATATTGATACTGAGTTAGGCAACATTGATTGGTTTATAAAGTTTGGGTTATTTATGTACTCCTTCAGTTGTTTTGATGAAAACAAATTTGCATGTGATTGATATATGCCATGTAAGTTTTTTCAGTGTTGTACCTTCATGTTCTGGTCAGGAAGATAACTGGCTTGGGATATAGCTGTTCTAAGGACATTGCTATGGGTACGACTGTGACTTGAGCAGGTTCTGTTGTGGGAAAGGGCTAGGCTGGAGAAAATGAACGAGTTCATGGGAGCAAGGACTGGGGAGAAAGGAGGCGTGGTGATTGAGAGATACTTTGAGCTGGGCTCCCGTGTCTCATATTTATAACTCTAGCTACTCAGGAGACCTAGATCTGGGAGATTGTGGTTGAAAGCCAGCCTGCCTTTTTTTTGGTTTTGTTTTTCTTGTTTTACTGTACTTCTTACACCTCAGGCCATTTTTTAAAATGATAATTTTTTAAAATTTACAATATTGACCTATCCAGTTCCTTCCAGCTACTCTAGTAACTAAACAAATGTCTGTCATTGAGTATTTCATAATACAGGCTCTTTATCTTCCTTTTTAAATTATCTTCAATAGAGGTACCAAGGAGAGTGAATTCAACATGTCAGTTTATGAATACAGTGTGTCTTGATCTGTGTTGCTCATTCCATCTTCACACACACACACACACACGCACACACGCACGCACACACACACACACACACACACACACACGAGTCTATCCCACCTTTCCACTCTCCATTCTTCTGCCCTTTCCCCATCCTCCTCAGACAAGACATTGTTTCAGCTTCATTGTGAATAGCCATTTTCACCTGTCTACTAATTGTTCAGAGGGGTTACACCTTGAGAACTCATCCCTGGGTAGAGCATTCTTCCGGAAGTATGGTTGTGTATATGTGCATCTATTCCTGCATGTGTTCATATTTGTATGTGGAGCAAGCCCCTGTACTGACACTGGTGTTTAAGCCAGAATGATGATGAGAATTAAGGTCACGCTGAGTGCTCCAGCATCTGCCTTGCAGGGAAACATCAGGCTCCATTCTCAGTGACTGTCTTGTTTAGGAACACCACCACAGCCTCTGCAACCACGGGCCGCGTCCACGCTTTGTCTCCAGTCCTTCAAGCTGTTGCAAAGAACAAAAAGCAGGTAGAATATTTTTTTAAGTTAATTCATTTTGACACAATAAAACGGGATGTGATGCGTCAGGTTTTAGTGATTCAAGAGTACATTGATGCTTCTTTTATTCCATGCAAATAAAGAGCCCCTGGGACCAGTAGAATGACTGCAGTCTCAGAATTGGTCTAAGCTGAGGATGTGGCTTAATGTTAGAGGGCTTGCATGTGTGCCTGTGGTCCTGCCTCCCTCCCCGCCCAAAAATCTGTTTCACCTATTTTTAACCTTCTGGTGGAACTTGTAAACAACATTTCATTCCTGTTTTATAGACTTGGCAGATATACATATTTTTACTTTTAAATCTGTGCCATGTTTTTATTGGAAATTTGCTTCTCTCTCTTTTTTTTGAAGTTGTTCTACAAACTCTTTTAGTAATACCAGTAATAGTTGAATATATTGTGTTGAAATATTCTAGTATATGCCTTTATTTATTTGTCTGTATTTTTTTTTGTCGGTCGTGGCGCCTGAACTCTGGGCCTGGGCGCTGTCCCTCAGCTCTTTAGCTCAAGGCTAGTGCCCTACCACTTGAGCCACAGCGCCACTTTGGCTTTTTTCTGCTTATGTGGTGCTGAGGAATCGAATCCAGGGCCTCATGTATGTGAGGCAAGCACTCTACCCCTGAGCCACCTTCCCAGCCCCTTTTGTTTATTTTTGGTGTTAGTGCTAGGGCTCTGACTCAGGGCTTTGCACTTAGCTTGACCTTTTCACTCAAGGCTGGTTCTACCACTTGATCCACAACTCCACTTCCAGCTTTTTGGTGGTCAATTGAAGATAAGAATTTAATGGACTTCCTTGCCTAGGCTGGCTTTGAACTGAAATCCTCAGATCTCAGCCTCCAAGTAGATAAGATTATAGGTGTGAGTCACTGGCACCTGGTTAGTATATCCTTTTAGATAAAATAGTTTCATTTTCTCACGTGTTCGCCTTTCCTACCCATTGAAGATGAAGACGCTTGTAAGGTGCTGGCTGCACACACCACAAGGAAGAGGAAGAGAGTGACCTTTGGAGAGGACCTCAGCCCCGAGGTGTTTGATGAGTCTTTGCCAGCAAACACTCCACTGCGTAAAGGAGGCACACCTGCTCGACAGAAGGACTTGAGCAGCATCAGCCCCCAGCCCTCCGACCTGTCACCAGTTCCTGAGCAGTTACTTCAACCCAATTTTGACGACAAGGAGGAGAATCTTGTGAGTGTAATACATCAGCTGTTCATCCGGCTGAACCTGTTGAGTGCGAGCACTGACTATATTAGAACTCCTGACAGAACTGAAGGAGGAGATTTTTGGCTCCTGGTCTCAGAGGTGTCCCAGCCCTAAGGCAGAACCTCCCAGCGGCTGGGTGGTAAAATGGCTTCTGTACTGCCTGGCAGCCAGAATGCATGGAGAAGGACAGGGAGGGATTGGAAGAAGAGGGAGAAGCAGAAAGCCAGCTTCTTAATCTAAGTAAAACCCAAGTAGCTTAGCTACTTGGTAGGCAGAGATCAGGGGATTATGCTTTGAGGCTAGTCCATTAAAATAGAAGTTCAAGAGGCTCCATCTCAAGCAGTGGGCCATGTGCAGTTATAGTGTGTGACATGTACCTGTTACTCCAGCTACAGGAGAAGTGCAGTGGCTAGTGCAGAGTGACACAGGAAAACACAAGGCATAGAGCAGCCAGAGCTTAACACAGGACTCTCCCAAGTGACTAGGATTTGCAGGGTTGATGCACCAGCATCTGGTTACTTTGATTTTCTAATACTTTTTTTTTCTTTTTAGTCAATGACAGTAAACATTTTATTGGAGAGATGAAGAGTCAGCATTATACAATTATCCTTTCCTGCTTAGATTTCTTTTTAATCTTTTGTTATTGTCTTTCTCCCTTCCTCCTTCCCCTACCCTTTTTTTGTTGTTGTTAGTCATGGGGCTTGAACTCTGGGCCATGGGTTCTGCCCCTCCTTCAGCTCAGGGCTAGCACTCTACCACTTGAACCACAGTGCCACTTCCGGTTTTCTGAGTAGTTTATTGGAGATAAGAGTCTCACAGCCTTTCCTGCCCAGGCCAGCTTTGAACAGCAATCTCAGATCTCAGCCTCCTGAGTAGCTAGGATTATAGGCGTGAGCCACTGTCACCGGGCCCCCTATCCTTTCTCTCCCTTTCTTCTCCCTCTCTCCTCTTTACTTCCCTTCCTCCCCTGAGAGATGGTCTCATATGTCATCTTGACTGGACTGAAATTTCCTAACCTCCTGAATACCTTACAGGCATGTACCTCCATGCTCTGCTACAGTTCTCATCTTTATACTTACTATTCTTTATACTTATTATAATTCCCTTTGACAGAATAAGCCCTTCTCATTTTTATTCTGAATAAAAGTTCATATTGTTTAGCCACTGAATTTAAGGAGATTTTTACTGTTTTTTCCTTTTGTTTAGGAAAACATAGAGCCACTTCCGGTATCGCTCCCTGTTCTGAGTCCTAATAAATCTTCACCGTGTGAGGCTGTCTCAGGTAGGTATCATCTCAAAACTCACAGGTCTGCCTGTCACGTGATCTGTTTTTTTGGGTTTTTTTCTTAATGTTTATGCCTGGTTTACAAAACCTGATACTGTGGTTAGAAAAGCTTATAAGAAATTACATCCCAATCTCTTGCTTTATATGGGTACCACTCTGTAAACTTGCTGTATGCAGCCTGCTGCTTTCTCAAGTTAAGTATTAAAGTAAGCTACAATGCACAAGTGAAATTATTTGAATAGTTAGGGTCACTTTTTTTTGGCATACATTAGTTGTATACTGGGATTTCATCATGACATTCCCCAAAATATGTACAGTGTACCTCCTCTACTTCACCCCATCCAGCCCTCTCCTCTGATCACCCTTTAAACAATGTCAACAGTTGCCTTACATGCATATAAAGTTCTTGGGCCATCTTTACTGTCATTCCCTCTCTCCTCATCTGCCTTCCCCTCTCCTGCTGATAGCACTCAGTAATGACAGCTTCATGACAGTTTATTCCCATTTAGTATGATGTTGGATATAGGATTGTCATATGTGGCCTTTGTTATGTTCATTTCATTCTTGCTGTTCCTAGTTTCTTTAGAGCACATAGTGTAAAATGCTGTTATTTTATCAAAGGCTTTTTCTGTGTCAGTTGAAATGATTATGTGATCTTCGTCATCAGACTCTTATGTGCTGTGTTGTATCTATTGATTTACATAAGTTGAACCATCCTTATATCTCTGGGATTAAACCATTGTGATTGTCTGATCTTATTAATGAGCTATTAATTGAATTCTGTTTGCAAATTTTTTTTAATCATTATGAGTCAGGTAACAAGTACATTTCTTTTTGAATAGTGTCACCATTTCTCATTTTCTCCCAGTTTTTCCCTCCTGACCTCCCTCCCACATGAGTTATATAGTTTATTTTCAGCATAGTTTCTAGTGAGTATCACTGCTAAATTGTTCACTCTGTCCCACCATTGCTCCCCCTTATGTTCCCCAAAATAGATCAACTTACATATAAGAAAATATACACAAATAAAAAACAGAAGGAAAATAAAAGAACAAGAAGCAAAGTAACATAAAATACTCTTGTTTCTATTTCTTGGATTCATTTCAGTAAATATCATTTTATATGATCATATGCACATAGCTATTGAGCCTGTATGATCCTCTCCAAGCTTATATCCTTCTTTGGTCTCACTGTGTGAATAGCTAGAGTCCTGTATAATTTATAATGTCCAGGTATATATTTTTTCTTTTTATCATCCAGTGTGTTTATTTGTAGATTTATAGGCACATTTTAGTTACCACAAATGAAGGAAATCATGCAACCTATGTTTCTTTGGGTCCGGCTTGCTTCTCTTACTTTCCAAGTCTTTCCATTTCCTTACAAAGGGTACACTATCATTCTTTCTGATGGAAACATAGAATTCCATTGTGTATATATACCACATATTTTTGATCCATTCATCTGCTGAGGGGTATTTGCATTGATTCCATATCTTAGCTATGGTAAACGTTGCTGCAGTGATCATGGTTGTGCTGATAGCTTTAGTGTGACTTTCTTTGTGATCTATTGGATAAATGCTCAGGACTGGAATTGCTGGGTCATAGGAAAGCTCTTTGTTTAGTCTTTTGAGGAACCTCCATACTGCTTTCCAGAGTGGCTAAACAATTTTATGTTTCCACCAACAGTGTAGTAGGGTTCCCTTTTGGCTACATCTTCACCAGCATCTGTTTCTGTTAGTTTTCTTGATAATGGCCATTCTAACTGGATGAGGTAGAATCTCAAGGTTGTTTTGATTTGCATTTCTTTTATGACCAGAGATGCTGAACATTTCTTCATGTGCCTATTGGCCATTCTTACTTCTGAGAGGTCTCTTAAGGTTTTTTGTTTTTGTTTTTGCCCTCCTCGGTTATGGGACTTGAACTCTGGGCCTGGGCACTGTCCCTCAGCTCTTTAGCTCAAGGCTAGCGCTTTACCACTTGCAACGGCGCCTCTTCCAGTTTTATGGTGGTTAATTAGAGATGAGTGTCTCATGGACTTTCCTGCCTGGGATCTCAGATCTTAGCTTTCTAAGTAGCTAAGCTTAGTGGTGTGAGCCACTGGAACTCAGCCCTCTTTAAGTTTTTAGCCCATTTATTAATTGAGTTGTTGTTTCTTTGAGGCTTTATTTTTAAGGAGTTTCACTTTTTGAGCTCTAAGTGTACTTTAGATATAAGGCCCTTGTCTGACACAGAGCTAGTAAAAATATCCCATTCTGTGGGCTATTTATCTTTGCAAGTGTTCTGTTTAGAATGTTTGTGTCTATGTCCACCAGAGATTTGTCTAAAATTCTGTTTTTGTTGTATTTGGGAATATTATAATACCGACTTCATAGAATTTGATAGCATTCTATTTCTTCCCTTTCTATCTCATGGAAATGTTCGAAGGGTATTGATGCCATTTCTTCTTTAAAGGTCCTATGGAATTTGGCTATGGATTGGTTTTTTTAGGCATTTTTTGTTGGGAAACTATTACTACTTCAATTGCATTGTTATGATCTATGTTTGTTATAGATCTGTTTAAAGGTTTATATCCTCTTGGTTCAGTTGGGTAGGCCAAAAACATTATCCATTTGCTCCGGATTTTTTAGCTTATTTAAATGTAGATTTTTTTGAAATATTCCCCTATGGTCCTCTGGAGTGTGAGTGTGTGTGTGTGTGTGTGTGTGTGTGTGTGTGTGTGTGTGTGTGTGTGTGATGTCCCATTTTGACGTCTGAATTTTATTTATTTGGGTTTTTTTCTCCTTTTGGTCAGGTTGGATGTGGTCGATCAGTCTCATGTGTTTTTTTCAGATAACCAGAATCTTTACACTTGTCTTTCCATTTTATTACTTTCTGCCCTAACCTTATTATTTCTTTCCATCTACTAATTTTGCATTTGGCTTGTTCTGTTTTTATTTGAGATCATTCTGATTTTCAGTATAGCCACTGACATTTGAAAAACCCTTAACTTACTAGACTACCTTTTATTCATATTGATAAAAGCAATCAAATCAAAATTTTCCTAAACTTTAAGAAATTTAAATACAATATTTTCGTAGCTTTATTAATGCCCTCATTTCAACTATTCCACAAAATGTGGTTTGAAATAAATGGACATTATGAATAATGTGCATTTTAATGTGTTCACAGCATTAGGATTTAGGGTGTTGTCTTAGCATTGAGATATGTCACATGCAAAGTAGTAAAAGTTATTTAGTAAACATTGAAGTTTCCTTTTTTTTTAACACTTTTGGGCCTCTGAATTTGTTTTTCTTAGTAATTTATGTTTAAATATAATATTATAAACAACAGTGAAATATCATAAGCAAAAGTAATTTAGACTTAAAAAGTAATTTTTTTTTTTTTTTTGTCGGTCGTGGGGCTTGAATTCTGGGCTTGGGCGCTATCCCTGGGCTCTTCACCTCAAGGTGAATGCTCTACCACTTGAGCCACAGTGCCACTCCCGAATTTCTAGTGGTTAATTGGAGATAAAATTCTCACAGACTTTTCTGCCCAGGCTGGCTGAGAACCGTGATCCTCAGATCTCAGCCTCCTCAGTAGCTAGGATTACAGGCATAAGCCACTGACACCTGGCTTAAAATGTAATTTTTTTTAATTAATTTATTTTTTATTTTTATTTTTTGTGAACATACTGTACAGAGGGGTTACAATTACATGGGCAGGTTAATGCGTACATTTCTTATCAAGCATTGCAGCTTCCTCCTTTGTTTTAAAATGTAATATTTTAAGCAAAAGCGAGAATGATGGGAAGGGGTGACACTGATCATAATGCATTGTATTAAAAAATTGACAGGTTGTATTGAAGCCCCTTCAAAATAAAAACTCTTGTTTAGGAAAAAACAAAGCAATGGTAATATCCAAAAATAAAGCATCTAGAGTTTCCACAGATGATGCACGTAATATTTCTGTATTAGCAACCTGTTTTTTCTTGTCTTGATTATCAGGCACAGAGACCTTTATTTCTTCAAATAACCCTGAAAAAATGTCTTCCCATAAAGTCAGTAGAGTAACCCGGACTTCTAACAGAAGGAAGGTAAGTGGTGAAGGCACAGATCTCTTCATGATAAACTTTTATGGGTCAAATCCTTATTTGGTCAATGTCATTAAGAGTTGATACCTTATCCTATTTTGCATGTAATCCAGAGTAATGCTGTTTTGCTAATTTGATTTTGACTAATCCTGTAAGACTAATCCACTGAAGAACACAATGCTTTCAGAATTACATTCTTGTGGAAGATAAAGTTTTGAGGTCTACATGAGTTTATGAATTGTATAAAAGGTGGACCCAGATCTAGAAAACAACATAACGGCAACTCTCTCTTAAACTGTCATTTGATATGTTTAACACTGGGTTTCATCTCGGAGTTTTAATAACTCACATTGATAGATATTTTTTGCTGTTTTATTAAATTCCATAAAATTGGATTTTCCTGTAATATCATAGTATGTTATTTTGTACTGTGATTGGAAGGAAAACCAAGAATTCCAACTCCAAGTAATCTAATAATTCCTGGCTTTCTTATAACCCCACAGTTAAATACTGAATTATAGATTCTCTATGTAGTTAAAGTTAGTTCTTTCTGTCTTTCTAATATAATTATGTAGCATCCTTATACTTCTGGATCTGTGTTTGCTAAATCAGATGATGATGATTGGTGTTTCTGTCCTTTGCATTTTGGGTATAGTGTCTGCAGTAGAACTTGCAGTTGGGTAACAGGATGTAAAATGGGGGGTGGGCCTGGGCTGTACCCAGGGGTCGACCACTTAACTCATTAGCCTTGCCAGGCCCAAGTGTGATGGAAGAGAACCAAGTGAGAACTTTGCATTAAAATGTAACTGCTTAGCTCTATATAGTAACTTTAGTTTAACTTTCCTTTTTTAGCAATCAAATATTTGCAACTTGGAGAATATGGAGACCCCGCCTTGTAGAGAAAAGAAAACTAATAAGAGGAAGTCTCAAGAAACCAAGTGTACAAACAAAACAGTTCCTAAAAAGAATCAGGTAAATCACCTAAATAGAATGTTGTGAGCCAGGATTGGTGATCCAAGCCTGTCATCTCAGCACTCCAGAGGCTGAAGCAGTAAGGTAGAGAGTCCCACGCCAGCCTGGCTTACACCGTGAGACAGAACAAAATTTAAAAATGTTTAAGAAGTGCTATGTTTATTGAAATATGGAAACATAACTTTTTTCATGTTATAATTGGACCTATGATTACTTAGGCTGTTTTATCCTAGAGTAGAACAGCCATGAGCCATGTTCTACTCAACCATTAAGTCCCTGAGAGACAGTTTTATCTTTGTGTCACATATATCTAGCACAATAAACAGTTAACACTAAGGAATGGAGTGGATTCTTGCCTTTGAACCTAATCCCACATCATCGTACCTTTCATTCTTTCTTTCCAGTTTTTATTTTCAATGAGGCAGGTTCTTGATGGCCTAGAATTGTCACAGGTCCTCCTGTTTCAGGCTCCCACATGCTAGGATGCAAAGTATGTGCTACTGTGCTCAGTTTCTGAACATTTTAATGGACTTTCAGGTGCCTTTGGCTCATATGTATAATCATAGCTACTCAGGCTGATGAGGTCGTAGTTCAAAGCCAGCCTGGGAAGAAAAATTCACTAAGTCCATTTCCAAAATAACCAGCAAAAAAAAAAAAAAAACAGTCTTGGAGATGTGACTCACATGATTGAACACCTGCCTAGCAGACATGAAACCCTAAGTTCATATCCCAGTACTGCCAAAAAAAGAAAAAAAGGAGGAAAGAAAGAAAAGGAAGATCAGCTCTAGATTTGTTGTTCCTCCTTCCCTCTAGTACTGGACCACAGTAGTGTTCATGTTTTCAGACGCTGTCTGAAGTCTGGTCTCATTTTTCCTCATGCTGCCATTCCAATGGAATTATTTTCCACTTGTTGAGTAACCTAGTTTCTGTAATCTGCACATACTTTTAGTTGTGTTCTCCCTAGCCATCGACTGTATTGAGCATCAGAGTCTGGTGAGGGCTGATTTTTTTTTTCTTCTATCCATCCTTTTTTTTCTAGAATTCTACTCTTTGCCCTTATCAATTAAAATTTTTTGGTTGATTGATAATTTGGGTTTGATAATTATCAAGTTTGAAAACCAAATCTTCCTGATCCATACATGTGTGTCCACCTCCCTATTAGACAGCTTTTATTAAGCCATCGATTTTTTTTTTTATTTTTTGTCATTTACATTTTTTTTTTATTGTGAGAATACCATACAGAGGAGTTACAATTACATGGGCAAGATAACGAGTACATTTCT